TCCACTGTCTAATCCTCAAGAGCTACTAAAAAATCGAAACTCTTACATCTATTAGGAATTGTGTGAATAAAAACAAAAGGCATGAAATTATTAAAGGCATAAATATATATTATGAGGCCTTAACTACCATGCATTCAGTGTTTAAACCTACCAAGCATCGAAAATGGCTTGGTAGGCCTGTTCTAAAATTTTACAGTCCCACTGCGTCCATATTACTTTTCCTAAGCGATTTTTAAAAAATGGACTTTTAAAAAATTGGTGCATCAAATGACGACAGCTCAGGCAACTTTCCCAGTGGTTACTTAGCGACGTCAGGATGATCATATTGCCAAACGGACATTTTTCCTCGCAATTAACAGGATTGATCTATCGGTTAGCAAAACATGATAAGGGAGTACTTATATTCTTAGTCACCATGATAATACATAGTCTGGCCATAAAATTACTGTTTACAATTAAACATAAAATAAACATTACATTTGAATTTGGAATCTGTTATTTTTATATGATTGATAAAACACAATGAATTTCTCATTTTCGCGCCAATACATTGTAAAATATTTTGTGATATTAAAACGGAGTGGGGTGATAAAGAGAACCGAATCGCTGTGATTGCATTAAACAAAAAGGTATGGAGCCAAATTCAATTTTTAAAACTCTACAAACGCTTGGTATTAGTCAAATGTTTGTTTACCGGGCTATTGATAGGTACAATGAAACCTCCTCTGCTTGTGACAGAAAAAGATCTGGCCGTGCACGTAGTGTTCGTACCAAAAAGGTGAACAAAGCAGTAAGGGAAAAAAATCGAAGAAATCCTGTCCAAAAGCAAAAGATTTTATCTTGGGAGATGAAGATAGCACCTAGAACCATGTCGCGTTTTTTAAAAGATGACTTAGGACTTGAAGCCTATAAGCGATGCACTGGTCATTTGTTAACTGATAATTTAAAAAAGAATAGGATGGTAAAATCGAAACAACTACTTAAGCGGTACGCAAAGGGAGGTCACAGAAAAATTTTGTTTACGGATGACAAAATTTCTACAATTGAACAATATTTTAACAAACAAAATGACTGTATTTATGCTCAAAGCTCTATGGAAGCTTCTCAATGAGTCAACAGAGTACAAATTAGGCATTATCCGACTTTCAGTAATAGTCTGGTGGGGTGTTAGATATGAAGGAGTGACTGAGCCATACTTTTGAGAAAGAGGTATCAAAACATCGGCACAAGTGTATCATGATACAATTCTTGAGAAGGTAGCTAAGCACCTCACAAAAAAAAGACCATTCAAAAACAGAGGAGAAACTGAACTATTTTATCTTTGCCTATTTATGCATACACGTACCTTATTATATAAAATATTTGATAAATCCTTCACGTTATGGGATTCAGGATATAACCCTGACATTCCCGTTATGAAGACTTTATCTGCAGATTTTCCACTTTCCATCTCTGGCTCCACAAAAGTTTTATTTGCGTCATTGAATGCCATTGTCTGAAATACGAAGAAAATATTTTTATCTTTATTTAACTAACTGCACTGTTAGCTTAACTAGAAGGAAGAACTTTTGTTATTATTTTTGTATTTTATAACATGGGCTTAGAATTTAGTTTTGATTATAACTGTTACTAAATTTTAGTATCAAATATATACAAAAATAAAAAATAAATAAAAGTTAAATAGAATTCTTTGAAAACGACTACTAACAGCAACAGAAATTTCTCTAACAGATTTTTCTAGTCTGGATTAGCTTTATATAATGTTGGTGCATTCATTTAAATTTTTGTATATTAATTTAATTTATTTAACCTTTACATGCTAGCTATTAGAATTCAATTTGGGAATATAAAATATTATATATATTATAATATATTTTTGAATTTACCATTTAAATTTGAATAGAATTGAAATGGTTGCTTACTACTTAAATATAATATTATTGCGAAAGTTTGCTTGTGCGTATTTTTATTACATCACGCTGGAATGGCTGGACGGTTTTCGATAATATTTAGTTAAATCTATGCATATAATAAAATTGTAACTAGGCCGAATCTGTACATTAAATATTTTTTGGAAAATCTCATTGAAATAAACATTATTATCGATACAGAGGCCGAATCTACAGTTTTTAGAATTTTTGTCTGTTTGTCTGTCTGTCTGTCTGTTACCGCATCACAGAAAAAGCACTGGAGGGATTTTGATGAAATTTGGTATGGTGATAGCAGGTTATCCGGATCAACATATAGGATACTTTTCACCGCAGTAAAATATCTCATTTCTGAGAAAAAAATACAAAAACTGCAATCTAAGAGTATACTAATATGTAAAACCTAAGAATTTGGTTTTTGGTCATATGAACGCGGAAGGCGCCGCGGGCAATGCTAGGTATACAATAATTATCTTTATACTTAACCAACCCAATGCACTGTAAATAACTAATTAATACGTTTTAAATTGTAGTAGTTTAAAAAAAAGAGTAACTTGTAAATATTACATTAAATCAATATGTTACTATTTACTAACCTTATACAATTATATATAAGTTTTTACCTAGAATACTACCCGAGTGTTGGGTGAAATAAATTTTATTTAATACTTAAAAACAATTTGTTTTATTAAATTAAATCACTCTCAAGCCCAAGCCACTTTTTTGATCCAAAACGTGTAGGTTGGATCACTTTTTTTGGACACGTTGTTCAGTTTTATAATTTTATTAAATTCCAGATAATATTCTTTAAATCCCAATATTTCCAAAGAAAATTATAATAACCCGGTTCGTAATGGACCATGTGCGCGTATAGGGGGGTTTTACTGGGATTTATAAATGAAAAATTAAAACTTTGATCATTGATGACTGAATAGCACGCAGTCTTACGATTTATTCAATTTTAAAATCACCGTCTGTGCTACCCATATAACAATATATGACAGGACACCTGACAGAAAAAAAGAGCAATACATTGGTCTAGTTATGTTGCTTAAAATTAACTTAAAAATAGAGTAAGTAAATGGTGCTTCAACAGCTAGTATTAGTACATAAAAACAAAAAATTCTAAACCTTGGAACTTTTACCACCCAACCCCTTAAACTAGGGGATGGAAGTTTCAAATCCCCCCACCCTACCCCCCAATGTACGTTCACCTTGTCGTGGTAGGGGGCTCAGTAGTGCCCGGCAATCCAGACAAGAACTATTGTATAACTAACTAGCGACTTACCCACGCTTCGCTCGGTTTCGTCCCAGGCTTGCTTCCCAATACAAACTTTCGTCCCCGTATTCACCCCCTTAAAGGATGATTTCCGGGATAAAAAGTACTCTATGTC